AGGGCCGAAACCCCCCCCCCCCCCCAAAGAAGGGAGAAAATAAATGACCTGTCAGATTCAATGCAAAACTGTTAAACCTGCAGGAATCTGCTAAAGGTCCAGAAAAGGGAAAATGCCTCCTTTTCTCTTGGGAAAAGTGAACAGGTAGGAAACATTTATCTATGGGCATGGGGGGGCAATTACTTCTTGAGAGAAGAGCTGCTACAGGGCAATGTACACATGCCTCTGCCTTGCAAAGAGGGAGGCAAGTCCCTGGACAGTAATGTAGTCCCTGCATACTTCACTCTGGACCCAGACATCTGGAATTTTCTGGGTTTGAAAGGCGACAAAGCCAACAGACATCCACCCACTTTGATATATGGTCCTTTAAAAGTAAAGGGGGCCTGCTCTCAAACTCAGTGGGCTTAGAGGTCCAAGTTTTGCTGTTGACACAGTTTGGACTTAGATCCTGAAGCCTGGGGAAAATTAAAGGAACTCTTCCTGAACTCAGGAGTTGAAGAATTACCTGCCAAAGCTTTTGCTTTGTTTTTCTGGTGAAGAAGGGAACACTTACCTACAGTGATTTTCTTAATGTAGGCATCCAGAGAGCTACCAAAAGTGTTCCCTGAAGGTGTTCCAGGAAGGCGTTCCCCATTAGGGGTATCCTCTCAAGGCATCTCTTGCATGTGGAGTTCCGCTGACCAGTACTTGAGCCAAAGGATCCTCCTCATGTTTATTGGAAGGTGACTCATCCTGGAAATCTGGCAAAGTTTATCAGCCATCCCATCAATGCAGTAGTGCAGGCTCATAAGCAGGACCTCTAGGTGCTGCTGAATTGACAGATCTGTCAGAAAGGATCCACAGTCCTGATCCATGCACATGCAGTTTGCTGCCTCCAACAGGGAGACTTAAGTCCTTTAGGGGAGAGACTGTATTCACCCACAGCCATTTGCCCAATGTGAGCTGGCAAGGCCCCTTGCATCTATGATCTGCCATATGTGATGTGGAATGTCCCTCAAGAGGTATCCAAAACCTTGACCAATATGGAGAGGGAAGAATTATGCCTTCTTTTCATGTGACTGACACTCCAAGCTGTGATACTCCATTTAAATGTGTCACAGCCAGAGCAACGCTATTAACTTCAGGAGGGACTGGAGCATCAGCAGGGAAGGACACTAGATCAGGACAGGTTTTCTTTATAGTAGTTACTTCTCAGGATGTTAGGGAAAAGCTCAACCCCGGCTTTGCCTTCCTGGTGGGGTCTTTAGAGACAGGGTTCCAGTGGCTGATCACAGCCTTGGACCTGTAAAGCCCCCTGAGGCTAAGTCAATGCATTGCACTATGTGTCAAGGTGGGCTGTGGAGCAGCTAGACGTTTCTAAAAGAATTTTGAGAAAAATCTATTAAAAGAGGTAAGCTTCACTCAGTAGAGAGAAAAAGTCCACCACCTAAGGATACTAGCATAATATTAAAACCTGCTTGTTTTAATATTACACAACACTACCTGTTGTTAATCGCTTACATTATTCACATACTCCTCACATACCCATCTGATTTATAGAAACTTCAAACATTTACAAATAATTTTGAC